ATTTTGTGAGCACAGCTGAGGGAGGGTGAGGATGGCAGCTGCTCAAACCAGCACCACAGTCACACTGAAACCATGCAGAACCTCTCGCACTGCCATACAAACAAAAACCACACCTCTTAATATTGAATACCTTGTTCACCAGTGGGGCAGAAGGATTAGGAGAAAAAATTTTGAGAGAAAGCAAAATTTGTGTCATCATGTTGTCAGGCCCTCCGAGCAGGGCTGGGGTCTGTGTCTGCTTGAGAGGCGCCAGAGCCAGTGCTTGGCTTCGGGCCACACTTTGGGCCACACACTTTCCCCAGTGGTAGTACGTGGGAGCTGCTGTTCGAATAGGGGAGCTGTTGGAGCTCTCCACCACAGTATGTGAGGTATTTTACTGCAGACCCCTACCAGATCCCACCGCTGCCAGCAGTGTGCTCCCTCGTGGGCGCCCTGTGTGTTTGTTCACCGCAGCGCTCTGCCATGCCTGGCATAGGAGGCAACGTATCGCAGGGCGACATGCTGACRCCACGGCCTAGCACAGCCTTTACCAGAGGGCAGGCACAAGTACGTCCTTCTGAAACACCAACCCTGTGAACAAGAGGCCATGTAAGGACATCGTTACTTTAGATTCTGGCCTCTTCAGCCAAACCSGTTGAAGTTGCCACCCATGGGCTGCAGTTTGTTCCTGCCGTCCCTCCCCCACCTGTGTGGCAGGGCAAGTGCTCCTAGGGCTGCGCTGTCAACTGGATTGCTGAAACCACCCAGGTTAAAAATAACCTCGTAAAGAGGAAAGGGAGATATTTTTAATCTGTATCGTTTCAGTGATCCAGTTGACCACAAACTGGCACATGAGAAGAGGGTAAGGGGAAAGGAAAGGTCAAGGGAGAACAAGCAGTTAAAAACATAAGCTGTCTTTTCGCCAAACCTGGAATCTTATGAAGCTGTGCCCTGAAAGCATTGATCCGCCCTTGTTTTCAGTGTGCAGATCTCAGGATCAGTATTTCAGGATCCTATTTCTGTAAACAGAAGACTTGACTCAGCCTCCTGTGCTTTACTGTGTATGGTGCTGGCACAAAACGTTTTTCATGATTTTAGCATTTTCTCAGGGAGATCGTATGTGTGGCAATGGAAAACACCATGAGAGTCGCAGGGGAACCTTGTAGTACCTGTGCACGTGCACGGCCTGGGAAGGCAGGCGGATGCTATGGGCTGGTGTGAGAAATGCCAGTGAGGAAACCTGCGACGCTCTCTAGAAGCAAGGGAGGGATGTAAAGGTCAGGAAGTGGCCACAAAACAAGGCTGAGATACAGCTGCATGAAAATGAGGGTGGAAAGGGAATGGGAACAACATAAACGCTCATGGAATAGTTACTGATGTCTTTACCACTACAGACACCAGCCTTGCTGCAAATGGCTCTGTGCTCAGGTAAAAGGTGCTCCTTCTGGCCAAAGTTTCCTAACTGCAAAAACTGTCAAGTCAGAGGATTCAGGGGAGAGGGAGGGAGATCAGGGCAGCACAAATCTCTGTTGTCATTCGGCTGGTATTTAAGGGCCACTTAAGCCAAAACAGTCTTCTGCGAGGTAGCTAAAAACCTTTGCTCCTTTCATCACCCAAAACACAGGAACCAGGCCAAACCCAGATTCTTGCTTGGCATCTGCTTCTGCCCCGCACTAGTACCCGTTAAGGCTATTGTTGCTGGTGGCATATTGACGACAGTGTCAAGAGGAGGAACAAACCTGGTGGGATACCAGTCCCCTGAAATGGAGTCATGATAGCTTTTAATTGCAAGGGGCAGGGTCATGACCAAAACTTCTAGCAGAGGGTTGCTGGAGCCAGTTTTGTGCCAGTCACAACAGGACATTCAAATTAATCCCCAAATCCCTTGTCCTGCCCCCATTTTCCAATTTTTCCCTGGATTTTTCTCGATTTTTATTTCCTAGAAAGCTGTTGTCTTCTGTGATGCTGCTACCTGTAGGTTAAATCCACAATCTTTTCAAAAAAAGTTTTTTGTGTGTATGATTGCACAAATGTTATTCAGAGAGAAACACTTCAGTGTCTGGAGCTCTGTGCCCTGTGTGCCCTGAGAACCTTCTTTGCTCTGTGTGTTTAACACACACCTTCTCTGCCTGCTGCAGCCTTTAGCAGGAGAATCGCAAACGTGCTGTCGCAAACTGCTCTCCTGAAGGGTCCACTCAGTGCTCTGCAAGACACTATTACTCCCACATCAGTCAGGTTTATTAGCCCTAGTGACTTCTGGCATATGATATTGCCAATGGCACTGGGACTGTGCTCGCCACAGCTACCTGTGCCACTGCATCCGTGTGTCTCAACTTGGGGGCCTCCCCAGCAGGGGCGTCCTGTGGCATTTCTGGGAGCCCTAACGGCAGCCTGTGAGAGAGGCAGCCTGTATCCATGCTGAAAGCAATGCCCCCTCTTTAGGCAATCACTGCAGGGTCAGAGATGGGTGGAAGGATGGGCTTTGGTGAGAAGCTTGAGTTGCCATGACTGTAATTGCCATGACCTAATCAACAAATAAAAGCAGAGTTTTCTTCTCTAACGCTGTTAATTCAAAAGGAGTAGATGCAGTTTTAAAAGCTGATGAAGAAAAAGGATGTTGAAAAGTATTTTCAAATTTGCTCAGTTTTATAAACTTTTTTGCAAGAGGAAAATGAAACCCCTTACAGAGAACTCATTAGTTGCACTTCCTTTTCTGTAGACAGCATCATGCTTACACTGATGGTACATTTTAATTCTAGTTTTGCGGCTCTTTCTGACATTTTTCAGAATCTGCAGAGCTTAGATTTTTTTCTTTTTTTAGTGGATCAGTAAGAGTTTGGAATAGCAGGCACCAGGCTACCAATGGACTTCTACGTTAGCTCTCTATTTTTAGCCCATGTGGGCTTACTGCATTTCTTTTCTGAAAAGCAAAAGAATCTTCAGTGGGCTGCAAGCACACAAAATATGGATGTGAGTAATCTCAACTTTTTTTGCTAAACAATAGCAGAGATGTTGCTCTTCATCATCCTGAAAAGCGGGGTWATGTCACCATGACTAGAAGTCTTACCAGGCATGGGAGGTAAAGCACTCATGCCATGGGACAGGAGAGATCCAGGCACTGAAGCTCTGGAGGGAGAGAAGCAGATGTGTCCTCATGGTGTCAGAGGCTGAGGGCTGCTGCATCTCTGTGGGGAGAGTGAGAAAGGGAGGCTTCCCACCTTCCCTGGAGCAGGAGGGTGACTGCTAGTCCCWTCTCAGGAAGTGAAAGGGACAGGGCCCTTCTTTTAGTGAGGCRAAGGGAACTTTCTGCATGTCAGTGMCCAGGAAGAGTGAGCTCTGTGGATCAGAAGGCATGCAGCCTGGCACATGAGCTGGAAAAAAAAAGAAGAAGCCATATAAAAAAATGGCTACAGGATTGCAGCGTAATTGCCAAAAAGGATCCGAGAAGTGACTTTTCCTGTTGCAAAACGCATAGCGTAATCAGAGAGTCTGCAGCTGGCAGTTTCTGGAGGACGCAGCCCCTGGGCTACTTGTTCTAATCTTAGAATGGCATGTCCAGAGCTTCCTGTGCGCCCGCGGCCAGCCGCACGCGCGGGAGGGCCGCACAGCAAGGCCCGGCCCCGCAGAGCGGGAAATGCTCGGAACCGGTCCAGCCTCAGAGCTTCCATCAAATCCGGAGAACGGGAGCTGTGTTTTCAGCTGTAGCTCACAAATAAATAAGTAAATAAACCCYCAAGCCCCAAACAAGGGGTCAGAGAGGGCAAGGGGAAGTGCTCTGTCATTCCTGGGTTTGGGCAGAGGGCTGTGCAAGCAGCTCTAGTACTAGCRGAAAGGAGGTTGTAGGGGAGGAAACGAGTCCTTCTCAGAGCACCTGTAGCTCCCCAGCCTGTACTGGGGCTCCAGTCACACATCACTTCTGAAATTGCCCAGATATTCCGGGTTCTGGAATGCTGCAGCCAAGCCTCCCAACACATCCTTCTGTCCCCAGGATCTTCCTTCGTTCCTTCATAATTCCAGCCTGTTCTTCCCTCACCACATGGAGCTCTCCTGTAGCAGAGGAAAGTTCTCTCACCCCACTCAGCCCAGTCATTTTTCATGTGCAACAAATGGCCCCGGTGATCTGCCTACCTCACTGTTTCTTCGTTTTCCATTATTTGCTGCTACCCCGGTCTCTAAGTACTCCAAGGAAGACTGAAAAGATGGTTGGAACACAGTAGAAGTTCACCAGGAAGAGAGAGWTTGATACAGCTGTCATAGCTGGATGCAGGAAAGCTGAACAAAGAAAGGCAGACGTAGCCAGGACTCTGGAAACAGGGAATAGCAGATACTAGCAGATACCTATAACAGAAGATGGCATGTTCTGGGAGAAATAGCTCCCTAAGGAAGGGGAAGAGTATTTAGAAATGGGCTCTAGCCCTGTTGTTTTATACCACATATTTCACACTAGAAATTGCTCCAAGCTGTTCTATGACTTGGGCTGATCCTTAGTGTAATCCCTTTATTTACTTCTCATCTAGAAACTAGGTGCTTCTTCAGCATGGTTTTGAGTTTCCATACCTACTTCTTCAGCCCCTGTAGTATGGTGGCCTAAAAGAAATGGCCTATGGATGGGACAACTTCTGTTCGAGACCCTTCACTTCTAGCAACGCTGAAGGAGAGGTTCTGTTAGCTAGGCATTTTCCTTCCAGACAGAGCAGCATGAAGGAAGAAGGACAACACTGGTGGAGCCCTTGGAAAAACAGAAATGTCCTCCTCTAGTATCAGCCTGTAGTGAAACTTTCTAACAGATAAACAAGAGTGTACTGAGGGAGAGAAATAAGAAATAAATGTGGTGCTGGTAATGGTGGTGGTAGAGGAATCAGAGGTATGAAGTTCCTATATGCTGATTTGTAGCCTGGTTTGTTGTTTTGAGGTCTCAGCTTGTAACAAAACAAGGACTGTTGGTTCATTGCTCATAGTTCTCGCTAGCCTCCTTGCTTTTTCCAGCTTTTGCTCATAATATGCTATTCCTGATTTGTCAGAACAGGCCAATAGAGACCAATTCAGAGGTGGACAAGTCAGCAACACCATCAGTGGCTCAGCTAGCAGGGAAGTTCAAAGAACAAGCAACCAGTATCGGTGGAAAAGAGGTAAGGAGCTCTGCAGCCACAAGTATGTAAAAGAAGAGGTAAATGAGGCAATCATCCCTGCCTCCAGATGTTAGAGACTGATTGATCTAAGCATATATCCACCTTAATTTTCAATCTTCCTAAAGGATTTGACTCCCAGGGTGTTGCAAGCTCTAACAGTATCTTCCCTGCATTGYTAACTTGTACATGAGTGTTCTGGTAGAGCCATACATCAGGAGAGCTAGATGCTGTAACTGAGACACAGTAAAACCTCATAGGATACATATGTATTCCCTAGCACACTCAATGCACATATGATCTGGGACATGTTGCGGATGTATGTGGGGATAGAGGGTGGCAAAGAATAAAAAAAAACCTAATTCCTGAACTATGGAAGAAGAAGGCAAACAACAGACTGCAGTTTAGAAGCCACCATGCATCTCAGAAGCAGATCACCAGTACTGTGTTTGTAAAAGAAGACGGTTTCCCTCAGGTAGTTCCTTCTATATGGTGCTGGAGCAGAAGTGGTCTCTTTACCTGCCCCTGTAACCTCTTCCCAATTTCAGCATTTCAGATTGTGCCTATTTCTGTCATGGTGAAATGCGTTTCTACTGAAATTCTGCTATGCCAAGCAATAGTAGACACAAGCTGTATTTCACCAGATAAGCAAAACACCTGAATTCCTCTTAGGAAGTAAAGAAAGACAATGCTATGGATGGAGATTGACTTCCTCAGACAATCCCTGCTTTTATTACACTCTTTTAAATAGGTGAATGCCCAGTGACAGCTCCCATTAGTCGGTGCTCATTTAAAACTAAGCTGCTTCCCTCTGGTGCTCAGCTGACTTCAGCACTGTCCCTGCTGGGAAGGGGACAGTGCTCCCCATCACCCCTCCTGGCTTTGGCTTTGTGCAGTGGGACCTCTGGCCACGCTGCAGGGCTGGCATACAGCCCCTYATCACGGGTTAACACTCTCACAGTCAGGCACCAGCATGTGTATAACCACTGTCTTCCCAAGCATTTGTCTTCCCTAGTCACCAGTGCATTCGTCTATTACAGTCATTTCCTCTTTCTAAGGTATGGGATTTAATTGCACTAAGGCCCCCACTCCTAAGCAGGCAGCAAGTTCCCAGACCTCTTCCAGTRTTATCAGCAGGCCTCTGCTGTTCCCAAGCCAAGGCAGCATGGAGAGGCCCCACGGTGGGGGAAAACTCCATTTCTCTAAGGACTGAGGAGTACAAAGTTTCCTGTCTTTTCTCTCCAAGCCATCTGTCACTTCTCCACCCTCTCGAGCTCAGATTAATGGCTGACTGGATGGTCTTTAACTCTTGCTTGACCTTTGCCAGCAAAGGGGAACCTGTCAAGCAGGAAACCTCTCGCACATCGCTGGGGCACAACACAGCATTGCCTGGGTTGCAAAATGGTGGGGTTTCTGTAAGATGTGATATTATTGCTCCTTCGAGTGATGCAAGGGAAAGGGCAGGGCTGCCTGCGGCTGCCTAAAGATGCAACATTGCCCTGAGCTGCCTGCAGCACCACCAGCAGGTCTGCTGGTTCCTAAACCAGCCAAGTCCACAGAGGGCAAAAATGCCATGATCCAAATTCTCACGTGCCTGCCTGTAAGACACCGTCACAATTATCCAGTATTATCTTGCGGATATTATCCAGTACCCACAATATTATTCACATATATTTCATGTGTTTATGCACAAAAAGKGTGTTAACAGCTTGGCAGGAGGCAATGAATATGGCATAAAAGTAGAAAGGATTAAAATCTTTAAGACAAAATCAATAAGTAAGAAGGAGCAACTCTACATGTGCAATACTTTGTAGCTCTTCCTTCCCAGTAAGAACTCTGTACTTCCCAGAGCCCAAGSACATTCAGAATAAATGTGCCTGCAGTTTCTCTCTTGACCAATCTCTTTCTTAGTCAAATTAAATATCACAGCTGAGGTCTTGTCTCTGTGACCTGCTCTTCTTCATTGGAGAATAATCTGTGATTGTAGGCCATGTTTAAAAAAAAAAAAAAAAAAAAAAGGCAGAATGTCCCTTTTTGCCCCTAAAATAATTCAGATTAAAGTAGCAAGATCACAAACTGGGTAGGAAGCTAAGACTCACTGTAAACGAATACCAGTAATAAGACAGGAAAAAGAACAATAGCAAGCTATTCCATTGGGAGGGGGTTTCCAGCTTTGGAGATGAAGCTTCTCAGAAGGCTTCTCCACCCTCCACAGCTTAGAAGAGTATTCTTTACACAGAGCCTTGCAGTTCATGCAGGGGGGAAGGGATTAAGATTGTTTTTCTAACACTAGAATTGGGTTAGGAGATGCTGTAAGCCCACCTCGCATGCCAGCTCATATGCCAATATTAAACGCTGCCTTTGGATGTTTCCTTAGGGGAGTTATACCCTGCCATCTAAGCAAGTCACATAGAGTATGATGTTTGGTGCTTCAATTTCACTTCCTTTTCTTTTAATTAAAAAAAAAAAAAAAAAAAAAAAAAAAAAAGATTCCCCCTCTGCTGAGTTGTTTTCTTCTCTTAGGTACCATCACATAAGCCAACTCGAAGGAAACCGCCATGCTCCCTTCCGCTGTATCCTAAGACTGAGACAAGCCAAAACGATGAGCAAGTGAGTGTCAATTTAATAGAAAGTCACGGTCTCCCTTTGGTGCATTCTGTTCTCTCTGACTTCTGAGACACAGATTTAGAGTGATTGGGCTGCGTAACATCAGCCACGTAGCATCAAACCTTTCCTTCGCAGACTCCCCTTGGAGGACTCCCTGGCAGAGTCTGTTCCATACTACTTCCCATTCCCGTGGCACAGATACATGCTCCATTTCTACTGCTCTTGTTTTAYCCTCAGAGCAGAAGATACATCAGTTTTGCCTCTCAAGTTTTTCAAAGCAAGAACTGCTGTTCATTAGATTTTAGCAGCATTTAGCTCTGAGGGCATCTATGCTGTTTATTGCCTTCATAAGTACACRAGAAGTTTGAGTATAATGGTGTAATAGGTCTGCTCTTGAGAAATAATTTATCTGGAGTGAAGAATTTTTCTTCAGCAGTACCTGCAGTGYATTGTCCTGACCGGGGCTCTACCTTTGCATGAGTAGATCCCAAAAAGGTGGCAGTTACCCACTAGCATTTCCTATGTTCAGACCTTTCCCAGTAGCTTCTGTCCTTCTGTATTTCAGTGTGCGTAGTTTAACCCCAAATGCCACATTGCCACCTGCCCTTAGGAGGCAGTTCTTAGGCCTTCTTTTCTAATACCTATAGCCTTTGCTGCCTCCAAGCCAGAGGAGCATAGCAAAAGCTTTACCATCTTAGATTATTTCCTTTTCCTTTGGATCTCAAAAGAGAAACATGCCCCGGCTAAATACATCATTTTCCTTTTCTGAAGTTGTTTTCAGCCTTTTACAGCTCTACCTTTCTGGTCACTTAGGCCCTTCATGTCCAAATTAATTGGATGCCTGCTAACCCTGTTAGTCAAGTGCTGGCAGAAAGCCTTTTTTTTTTTTTTCATCATAAAAAAGTCCTAAATGTTTACCAACATTAAGGCCTGTATTCTTTCAGAGGAAGATTTATTTTCTGTCTAGCCCTCAAAAAATGTCAGTTTAATCATAGATTMAACTCCTTTCTGAAGGCCAAATATCAGTAAAGGCATTACACATAACCAGACTTGGATAATTCACCAAAAAGCAGACAATTATCTCTTCTCCCTCAAGAAGGATGTAGAGCCCTAGGATGGCTGGTTCACAAAAGAGTTAGGAAAGAAGACAGCAGTTGTGCAAAGGTCCTGCATGAGGTTTGCTTTACTCTTCTACAAGTACGTTCTCCTTGCCACTTGCAAGTACCTGCTTTCAATGGATTTCCTTTTTCTCATCTCTTTTAATGTGGTCTTTTMCTGATTCATTTTCTTTTTGCAGAAGCCATCTCCAAACGCTTGCCCTGTGCTCAAGGTCAAGGTGAAAAGCTCCCCGATGATTGAAAAGCTTCAGGTACRTTCTGGAAGGGCCCACATAGTTGTCCCAACAAATTCCGTCCCAACGAATTCCGTGGTGGAGCAGCCACAACGGAGGGGGAGCCAGGAGCTCTGAGGGTGACAGCAAGGCAAGCAAGGCAGCAGTCTCCTCACCAAGGGCCCAGCTCCACAAAACACATGCGAGCAGGACAGAGCAGGCCTGTGACGGTAACCAGGGTCAGACACAATGCAACAGGCAAGCCTGAAGGATGATGTGAGGTCAAGCCAGGAAGCCAGGTTCAGGGTCAGGGTCAGGGCTTGGGTACAGGCAGGGTACGTGGCCAGGCAAGGCCATGGCAGCAGCGCAGCTCRGGGGGGAATCAAGGGCACGGGCCTCAGCTTAAGTGCAACTCCCAAGAGAAGGGGAGAGAAACCCTGTCTAAAGCTTCTTCTAGCTCTTTCTTCACAAGAATCTGGAAAAGGTTTGAAYGCTTGCACCATGCCAGGGAGCTGGCCTTGAACGCAGAGAGCTAAAACCATGGTGATGGTGAGGAAGCAGCTCTCCACTCTCCTTTACCAGTGCCTAGAAGCTCTGCCCTTCCCTGTCCCTATTCCCCTGAGTTACACACAAACACACCCAGGGCTGTATCTGTATCTCTCAGCACTTGACAGCCCATGGACATAGTGCCCTACTACTGCCGGCTGCCCCCGCGGCAGCATGTGCCACTCCTGAGCGTGACGCCACTTGGGTGCCCTGACACAACACAACCCATTCATASTAGTGTCCCCGTTAACGCACCCAAGGACATTTGCTGACAGGAACTTCTTAGGAACGGGCCAGCGGGTGTCAATAAGGAAGTGCTTTTCCACAAACAATCACCAACTTGCTTCTTTCCATGATCTCCTCACTCCCTATGACCACGTGGATCATTCTAAAGACTTGCGGCCCAGGCCTGCAGACGTGAGGTCTGTTTGAGTAGGAGCAGGGGTGGTTTGCACCCTGAGTGACTGCTGGYTGCTTGTTCCTGCTCTCCTGGCCCAGCCGCTGTACATGACAGTGACTTGGCTCGGTCACTGGAAAATCCCTAAAGGCCTCAGGATGACAAAAGACTTCGTCCCGAGATCCAGCTGTTGAGGAAGGACAAATGTCTAGCCATAACTTCTCTGCCCGGGCTTGTTTGTTGACAGTATCACCAGGAGGGGCCTGTGAGCAGAAGCTGTGGGTGGTGACAGCTGGGGGTGACAGCAGGCTGCTGTCCCGTGGCRCGAGCAAGGGTTCCCCCAGGTGGCTGAAACGCGTACTAGGCACACCGGGAACGCGCTAACGCCGTGTGCTCTCCTCTGCAGGCCAACCTGGCTTTTGCTCCGGCTGCCCTGCTACCAGGAGCATCCCCCAAAAGCCCRGGCTTGAAAGTCATGGTCTCTCCGTTCAGCACGCCGCCCTCCACCCCGACGAGCCCTGGCATCCAGTCCCAAGCCAGTGAACCCAGAGAGACGCCGGTCAGCTTTGATCAGCCCCCAGAAGGCACGCAGCTGCAGTTCTACAACAAGGTAGGGGCTGGGCAGGGGTCTCTGCCACTCATTCCTGCGGATGAGGTGGAACGGGAGGCTTGTGTGGCCCTGCAGACTGGAGAGCCCACAGAGACCGACTGCCCGGCAGTTAAGGGGAGAGCTGTGACCCTCATTTACCATGCCCAGTTGCTGTGCTGACTCCTCCAACTACCATAATCCAAAGCCTAATGAATGGAAAAAACTTGTTTTAGGATTTAGCTTGGACAGAGAGCCAGAGTTTAAACTGGGACAATGATCTAAGACTGGAGTCAAAACTGGGACAAAGACTAGCTTTACTGTGGGGAATGACGTACATGAGAGAGCTGCTTATCCTGTAAAGCAGTCCCCTTCCACCTACCTCTGGGAAGAAGAACAGGAGAAATGAAACAATCAGCATAGTAATCAAATTTCTGGCGGGATTATTCTCCGTCTGCTTTACAGTACTACTCTCTACTGTCTCTAGTAGTATTCTACTAGAGAGTACTACTCTCTACTCTCTTCAGTGTCTGTTTTTCCTGTATTCAAGGTGCGGACACGGGGATCAATAAAGCGCAGACCGCCCTCCAGGAGATTCAGAAGATCTCTGTCAGAATATGGAGATGGCGAAGATTTAGGGATCAACATCTCTTCTCCAGAAAATGGTTCCAAAGAAGATGGAGATGAGGTGTTTGGGCCCAAGGGCAAGACAGAAGAGGCAGAAACAGGGAGCAAAGCACCAAAGAAACAGTCAGGATATGATGAGAAGCCTCCATCAAGGAGAGGATCCAGCAGGTCAGAAAATGAAGAAAAAGGGGAAAAACAGGGAGAGGAAAAACAGGGAGAGGAAATGACTCCTTGCAAGAATAATGCAGGGGATACAGAGAGGAAGGTGAGTTGTGCCTCAGGGGAGGAGAATGCTTCCCAGCCTCCCTCTGGAGATAAGGAAGAGAAGGTGTGCAAGGGTTCACAGGGAGAAGAGGAAGACAATGCCTGTGAACAGGAAAAAGGTGACAAGAAGAAGGAAGAAGTGGAAAAGGAGGAGACCAATGAGAGCACAGACACACGGGGAACACCAAGCGCTGAAGAAACCCCATTAGCTCCAGAGACACAACAGGCAGCAGCAGGCTTGGAAACTGCCAGTGAGTCAACACCACCCACACAGGACCAGGACACAGAGCAACTGTGATGCACAGGTAAGATAGATCTGCATGATGATGTCTCCTAAAATAGCTTTTTTTTTTTGCCTACTAATGAAATGACAGAGGCATGCTAACATTTTTGCTTATCCCCACATATCACATATCAAACTATAGATCCAAAACCACTCATGTGATACAATCCCTCCTATCAGGCTAATTGATGTAAAGAGACATTTCCAAACCACTTGTTAGCTTTGCCATCAAAAATAGTGTTTGCACACTTAGCAGTTTCATGGTTAGCCCTGGAACCATGCAGACATGGATACCTACCACTTAAAATAAAAGAGGAATTCCACTGGCTAAAGCCAGGCTTATTCTTTTATATCTTCTTGCTTATTTTCTAACCACTGGTACCCAACATAGCCACAGATGCTTGAGGTAATATCCCATTCCACATCAACTGCATGGCCCTCTGGAAATGCTCGCTTGGTTTTGCAAGGAGGAACTGAAAGAAGGAGCCTGGTGCTCAGGCTGCAGCTCACCTCTCCCTGCCACCCCCAAAGTACCCCTAAGCACAATATCTGTTGCAGATTCCCTGTCCTTGTATTTACTTAAAATTGTTATTATTTGTAATAATTTATTTACTTTTCCCTCTCAAAAGGACATACCCTGTCAAGACAGAGGAGACAACACATGAACAGGAGCCATCTAGCCCAATCAATGCGGAAGCTACTGGAAAACTGTAGTGGGAGAGGAGCAGAATGCAGATATCTTCCGAGGTGAAGAAGCATCCAAGAACTGAGTGATCTGTCACTGGTCCTCTGCTCTCACACCATCATCTTCTGCTACAATCAGAGTTAGAGACTGGCTTATAATTGCTTCCGAGATCAAAATGTAGGTGCTGGATGACTTTTCTTAGGGGATATTCAGGACCTGAGAGACCTGATACATGGTGTCCTGGCTGGGCCCAGCAGCCACCACCACTTTTGGGCCTTCTGTTCTTCARTCCTACTGAGCTCCAAAATGTCATTTTCTTCTCTCCTGCATTGATCTTACATGAAGTTCATCGCTGTAGGACCGATATATATGTGTATATATGTATGTTTGTGTATATGTTTGTATACACACACACACATATGCACACACATATGCATGTATGTAAGTTTATATGTATGGTGCCTTTTCAGTAGCTTCTTTAGAAAAAAAAAAGGGTTTTCGAATATAACTAAATAATGTTTTAACAACAGGAAAAAGAGTGTGCTTTCTCTACATATCTTGTATGGCATACAATGTGAATCCTAAATACAGAGAAAAGTCTGAAAAATGATTATAAAGSATAAAATTCCTCTGGAGGAGAGGACTGACCTGGATGATCTGTGTACGGAATACACAGGAATTGCAGGCAAATTTTGTGTGTGCTTCAACTTTGGAATGTTTTTAGTACTGCTGGAAAGTAACAACCAACAGATTTGATCCACAGAAAAGATGCGCTGTGCAGGTCAGTAGGKTGGGTTTTCTTCACCCAGCCCTGTGCTCTAGGGTTGAGTTAAAAGGGCCACTTGTCCATGAGTCTTTTTCAGTCCCAGACTCTATCTAATCTTTTGATTCTCTTTTGAAACTCCCAGCCAGTTAGTGGCCGGTTAATGCCATTTGTGATAGAAGGCATGCTGGCTTACTCACAAATTATATACAGTTCAATGAAGAGGTCTTAGATGGCCAAGTTTCAAGCTGTACAGCTTGACTGAATAAGAATTACTAAAGCACAGATAGCAAGTCCTTCCTAAGAACTTAGGACTGGCATTGATTTGCCCCCTCTCTTGGAATAGCAGTTAATTCACAGGACTAGTAGAGACGGAGCTAAACAAACACACAAACAAACAAACAAAAACCTCCATCTTTTTACCTCTACAATGTATTTGTTGTTCATATGAAGTAAATTATGTAAGGGAAGATAAACAGCAGATTTTACCTGATCACTTTCCTGACAGCAGTGTTGGAGGCTGTGTCTCTAATACAGAATAAACAGCACCTCTGGCTCAAGGTCCATGGGCGACACTGCTTAGGTGTAGCCCTCTCTACAGCATCTATATTGATATATATTGCCTTGGAGACAGCGAAGCAGAATTGTCAAAAACTCCGCCAAGGAGTCAGCTAAGTGATATGGGTGGTTAAGGGCCAATGCTTACACCTGCGGCCAGACACATATCCTTTAGCAATATAATGCAGCTACAGAGACCAAAGACAGAACCTGCCAACTCCTCCTTGTCTTTCACAGAATCCCTCTTAGCAAACATGAGGCTAAGCAGTGTAGGAGGTGTTGTCCCTGTCCTGGRGACAGGCATCTTACACAACATAGGCCGCATCCATCCTTGCCTGGGCTCTGAAGTGCAGCACTAGAGCAATGCATCACCCATGGTTTTGAGGGATGCCCCCTTTTGTTCACCAGCGCTAAAATCACAAGCAAACAAATGATGCCCTGCCTTTCTTTTTTCCAGGTGAGAGCACTAAGGTGTCATCCTTTGAGAGCCAGCAATGCTGCCCCTTATCTATAGAACAGGCTTGTCATTAAACATGACCTCCACATCATTTTGAGCCATGTTGTGGAGCCCTCTTGCCTTTGAATCTATTTTAATCYGTTTGTTGGAGCTTGTATTCCAGGGCAGGCTGCAATAATTCACTGTAACTTGTTTCTTCTCCCAGCAGTGTGTCCCATCTGGATGTGAGTGATTGTGCCTTACTGTATATATATATATATATAGGTATATATGTGTGTCTGTTTAGAGAATGCGTACGTGTGTCCCAAGCAAGGGAGTGGAAATCTGAGGGAGAAACAGAAGAAATAAATGGTAGAGTAAAAACAACAACAAAAAAAAMCTCAATTTTCTGTGTTTCTTCCTGGAGAGATGAAGAATGCCAAATGGGGCATCGAGAGAGCTGACAGCAGCAGGCAAAAATGGGTGAGGGATTTCGACTGCCATCAAAACAGTGTAACATTTCATTTTAATTTTTGATTTTTTTTTTTTTTTTTACTTTTGGGAAACAGTAACAAGCCAAGTGCTTTACAAATTGCTGGGGAGGAAAAAAAGGGCACCCATTGCTCAGCCGAAGGCATCGGCCAGCTTGTACACAGCTCAGGCCGTGTACAAACCTCACCCCTTCAGCAAGGCAAGTGGGAGCAATTTCATAAGATAGATAGATAAATAAATAAATAAATAAATAAATAAATAAATAAATAAATAAATAAAGCTTTTTGGCAAGCATTAGCATCATGGCACTGCAAAATCAGAAGGTACACGTGGGCACATATCCATACGGGGAGAAAATGGGGGCTCGGGCCCACCAGTGGCAGTGAGGTCCCGTGTCCACAAGGCGTGCGGGGTCAAAACACCTTGAGGGCAACGCCGACCTGCCTGGATGGAGAGAGCGAGAGCGGGAGAGCGCCCTGCCCTTCCCTCCRGCCCTCGGGGAGAGCAGAGGTGGGTGTCAGGGATGCTGGCGATTGAACTGGGAAACACCGGGAGCTCAAGAGCACTCTGGTATCATGTTTGTAACAGCTTTGGTGTGGAGGCTGCTTTGAAGAACAACAGCAAAACTAACCCCTCTTGGCCATAAGGCTGTTATGCTGGGGGTGGACGAAGAGGAAAATAAAGAAACAGGGAGAAGAACGCACCACGAGAGCAAAGCGACTGCTGCCGCTGTGTTTGGCCGCGATCTCGTTGTTTTTTACGGGTCTGTTTTGTTGGGGCTGTGTCTGAACGCGAGCGGGAGCGCGGGCAGAGAGCAGCACCACACGGCAGGGGCGGGCACGGGCGCGGGCACGGGCGCGGGCACGGGCGCGGGCACCGCTACGAGCGACAGGGCGCGGGCGCGCGCTCAGACCGCCCACAGGCGGGAGCGACGGCCGCGCCGCCGCCAACGGCGGCCGGGCTCAACCAAACCCGCTGCACGGGGCGGGGGAGGCTTCCCTGCCTCCCCCCCGGCCGGGGGTGAGCTCGCCCGCCTGCAGCGTGAGGCGGGGAAGGGAGGGGGTCCGCTCCCGCTGTCCCCCCCCGGCGGAAGGGCGCAGTGGTATCGCCCGGGGGCGCCGGGGATGGCGGCCGGCCCCGCCGCGCGGGGGCGC